TTGAAGTTAAGGACCTTGGAAAACTGAAACATTTTCTAGGGATGGAAGTAGCAAGATCTAAAGAGGGAATATATGCCTCTCAACAAAATTATATCCTAGATTTACTCAAGGAAACTGGAATGCTTGGATGCAGACCAAGCAGAGTTCCCATCAATAGATTAGAAAAAATGAACAAGCTACTAAAACCGAAAGAGAAGCTGCAAAAAGGAAGAAACAAGAAAAGGATGAAGTTGCTGCAAACAAAGGCCAATATCAACGACTAGTGGGAAAACTCATTTATCTCTCACATACTCGTCCTAACATTGCATTTGCAGTAAGTGTAGCTAGCCAACATATGCATTCTACAAAGAAAAAACATATGGATGCAGCTTATAAAATACTCAGGTATTTAAAAGGTACACCCGGCCAAGGGCTGTTCTTCAAGAAGAGCAATCTGAGAACTATTGAAATCTATACAGATGCTGACTGGACTGGTTCATAGGAGGACAGCAGATCAACTTCAGGATACTACACCTTCATATGGGGGAATTTAGTTACTTGGCAAGGTAAGAAACAACAAGTTGTGGCAAAAAGTAGTGCAGAATCAGAACTACAAGCCTTGGCCCAAGGAATCATGGAGGGGCTATGGCTGAAGCGAGTAGCAGATGAAGCACAAATACAGATAGACTCTCCTTTGAGACTCTTCTATGACAACAAGGCAGCTCTTAATATGGCACTGAATCTTGTAAAGCACAGCAGGACCAAACATGTTGAAGTGGATCGCCACTTCATTAGAGAAAAGGTGGAAGAAGGAATAATCTGTCTCTCCTATGTACCCACAAAGTTACAGCTTGCTGATATACTTACCAAAGGCTTACCGGAAGAAGTGTTTGAAAAGTTTGTAGGGAAGTTGAACATGATAAATATCTATGATCCAACTGGAGAGGGAGTGTGGTAATTATGTAAATACACTATGTAAAATTCTGATTTAGACTGATTCGTAGGAGAAAATTTCGGTTAGGATAGCAGGAGAGTATTGATGGGATATTGGGTCTCAAATTTCCTGATTTATTGTTGAGGATTTCCCTCTTGTAATCTATTTAATCCCAAGGCTCAGAGAATGTGAATATACCAGATTTCAATATACCGAAATTCTTCAAATGGTCATGGCAACTTCGAGTTCTTCAAATGCCTCTTGTGTCTTCTCACCCCACTGAATGAATATTTCTCAAGAAATTGGGGTAGTGGAGCTGTAATTCGACTGTGTCCCTTGACAAACTTTCTGTAGTACCCTATCAAGCCCAAAAATCCTCTTAAAGCCTTCAAATTTTGGGGCTTAGACCACTGCACCATAGCTGTGATTTTGGAGGGATCTGCTTAAACGCCTTCAACAGAAATTATATGGCCTGGTATTCTATCTAACTTTGCCCAAGCACACACTTTTTAGATTAATAACCAATTGACGCTGCTTCAACAACTTCAACGAAATTATGACAACTACACTAGATAATGAAACAAAACAAAAAGAAACTGAAAATGAAATAAACAGCACACTGTCACTGGTTTTCGAGAGACCATGACCTCTCCCATAAACCAATCACCCTGTCTACCTCCTACGTTGCTCATGCTACTTTTATTTCAAGCGTTCCACCACCCTGACATTGTTAGATGATCGTTAGGCTCCCTAGTTCCCAATATGCCCCTGACTTTGGCCTGCCTCCCCTGTTTGGGCCTTCTTTTATAGATCTAGCCCTAAAATGTAGTGTTAGGTAGAAAGAATGAAGACTTTGAAGCCTACTTCATATACTGGAAAAATTTCAATTTCACCTTTACTGTTCCAAGATTAAGCAAAGTTTGCAAACTGTTTGGTCAAATCTACGTAATAAATCAACATGCCCATGAAGCAAATCATATACAAAGCATTATGCAAAACATATGCGATCACTAGATTATCATTGAGAAGTGCAGAAAATTACCATATCAATTGCCTACTTGTATCTACAACTGGCTGTGATTTCACCTTCACAATAATAGAAAGAGTGGGTCAAATAAACGAGCACGTGACTATTTTACATTGCCATTAACAATGTAATACGATGAACAAAAGTATGAAATAGAATGAAGAAACACTGGTATATTTTCAAAGTCAAACATTTTTCATCATTTCACTAATAAGAATTTCTTTGATTGAACTGAATATTTGATGTAGCAAAATGCACAAAATTTTAAAATTGAATATACAGAGTTAAAAATGTAATATAGATAATCTATTCCTTATTTATTAGGTCCACTTATATTACAATTATTTCATTTTACCTTTCTGTCATTACTTAATATCAATTAGGTTTTGAATTTAAGGGATTAAAATATCACATTATAACACTTGATGATAGTCCCTCAGTTATGTATCTTGGTTTATCTAGCATTTTGGGAAGAAAATATACAGTGCTTGTACTGCATAGTTTGCGGATCAAAGTTCTTGTAATCCTTTCTCTTTTTAAAATTCAGCCCTGTATTCTACACGATAGCAGAGCCCTTGCCATTATGGTGTTTTGATCACAAGGGAGAAGAGAAATTATGTCTTCATCATTTTAAATGGTAATTCTCAATTGCTCCCAATAGTTTTACATCTCAATAATACTTAAGCACTTTTGCCATCATGCACATCTGAAGAATGTGACTATTCCAATACAATTAATCAGTGGTATTGTTACTTCCGAGAGTCCTCCTTCCTCTACTTTGGCCAAAAATTTCTGTTTTTGCCAGCAGAATCTACCCAGATTAGTAAAGAAACTTTTAATGGTATAAAGTGGAGGTATTTGAGATGAATGTATTATCATACAAAAAAATGATAAGATTCATATTGAACATAAATGAGGATGAGTTAGAGCGGTGTCTATTATAGAGCAATTGTAGAAAATCATTTGAGGTTCTTTAGACACATACAAAGAAGACTACTGGATACATTGGTAAAGAGGGCAAATCAAGCAATACAGAATCCTCTAAACAGGGGTAGAGAAAAACCAAACAAACACTCAATGAAGTTATTAGCGGGACCTTTTGGTTAGTAATATATCAAAAAATTTGTTTGTTAATAGAGTCCAATGATGCCATACGATCTGTGTAGTTAACTCCACCTAGTAGGATAAGGCTCATTGTTATCATCCCATAGCAGAACTACTCTTCTAACACCTTAACTAAGCCTAAACATAGATTTTATATTTGGACAACTATAATCCTGCCAACGACACACCCAAATCGCAATGCTAACAATGAAAATCAAGGGGCAACATTACGGGCCATAAACCCAACAAGGACAACTACCCACTTTGGAGTGGTATGTGACTAAGTACACTTGCGTGGGAAAGTAAGGTACTTGACCAATGACAAAAATGCTAGGCTCAACTGATCTGAAATATAAAACATGGAAGGCTAGGAATAATCAAGTAATGGCATGGCTGTCCAACTCTATCGAGCGACACATCAGTGGGACCTCCATGCAAAATGAAACAATTGTTGAAATTTGGGAAGCTGCTGCAAAAGCACATTCAACCCAAGAAAGTGCAGTAAAGATATTTGAGATCAAATGTGCTATTCATGAGGTAAAACAAGGGAAAAAGCCAATGACAGCATTTTAATAAATTGTCTAAATTTTGGAAGCAACGGGACCATTTGGAGATACACATCTGGAGCTGAGCTGAAGATATTGAATGATAGGTAAAGATTTTAGAAAAGACGCATATCTACAAATTCCTGATGAAGCTGAATGAGTTTTGATGATGTTCAGGTAAGGATTCTTGCCATTAGACCTCTTCCAACTTTAAAAGCTGTTTTTTCTAGAGTCAGAAGAAAAGAAAGTAGGAATAAGACCTAGCAAGGAATGCCTAGCAGCAGTGGAAAGAACTATGCTTGTGCTGGGCTACCATGTTGTCGAACTTCCAAAAACACCTATAACAGTTCCAGACCACCAACAAAGAATAATAACTTGAAAAGAAGTAAAAGTTTGTATAATCATTGTCAAAAGGCCAATCACACTAAGGACTATTTGCAATGTAAATAATAATGAACACAAGAATTAGTTTTGTTAGTCATACATTAGTTAGGTTCAGTTTGTGTTGATGACAGTTTGCCTAGGTTGAGCACAAATAGGGACTTGGGATTCAGAATATGCTATGCTGTTGCTTTTGCTCAAACTAAGCCGGTTCTGATCTCTCTCTCTTCTCTTCCCCCTTCATACCTCTTTCATCCCACTTCTGTATTCTTTAAGAAAATGTAGAGGTTTAAAACGTAATCAATATATAATTTTAATTTGGACTGATGTGGTCTTGGTGAAAAATGATAATCAAGAAGAAATCGCATCTGGGAGAGTGAACGAAGAGAGGTTCCATTAAAACATCTACGAGAGAATCAGAAGAAAAGTAGAAAACGAGACAAGGTGGATCTTCCTAGTTTTACTTTTAACAATATTATCATTATATAAGCGTGCGACTATAAATGTATTACTTTTGTCAATTCATTTGCTTGTTCCGTGTTCTAAAAGCAACATAACATACTTTATTTCTCCTGTTCTTTACATTACTGCATTCCCAGGCATAGTTTGTCTTTGCAGTGACTTAGCATGAAATTCATCTAATCAAGCATAGGGCCTACATTCTAAATAAAAATCATGCCTGTGATATGCTTGAAACTTTAAAGATAAGCTAAGAAACATCAAACAAAAAAGAAAAGGCAATTTGATCCAGCATTGAAACTAGATACCTCTCCAGATGTTTGAAAACTCCAATAAGTGTTTCCATTGGAAAAATCAAGAAAATAAATTTTCCCCCTATAACATCCAACAACCACCTGGAGAGATACCATATGTTAGAACAAATGGATAGAATCTATAAGTCCATGCAATAAAGTGACCTGATATGTTGACATATAAAAACCAACCTGGGAAAAGTCGCAAACAATTGCTGCAGAACATTCAACCCGTCCTTCCAGTTTGGTCTCCCACTGAACAGAACCACTAGACCAATTATTTAGCACAACTTCAGTACTCAGTAGTGCTAGAACACAAATTCTTTATAATTTTGCTATATAGTGCAAGCATAAGTATGCAGTCACAATACACCAACTACACACAACTTATTAAAAAAAAAAAAAATTGACCATGAAGAGGATAGAATTCATAACTACCATAAAATAAATCCCAGTGTTTCATTAATCAGCTGAAGAAAGTAAAGCAGAAGGATGAAGCAATACAAATTTACCAACAATTCAAGCAGCAATACAAAGAATCAGGCTAGGGAAATAGAGCAAAACGAATAGAGATGTCAATTCTTCTCTGGTCCAATCTAATTAAACTAATTATATTTTAGATCGCATAAGAAAAGTAGTTGAATCTTCCAATCTACAGTGATGTTTTAAGAGACTGGAAAAGAATATAAGACACTCCGTTGTTAACACATTTGTTAATAATTTCACTAAATAATTCACACATCGAGTATGTAGTAGTAATGATATAAGGCACATAGATTAGCACTGAAAATCTTCATCTATAGATCAAAGGAGTATGTACAACATGTACAGAAGAAAGAGGAAGAGGGGATTGCGCAAGATAAAGAAAAAGATTACATGAGATATGTCTAATGTATTTACTCCCCACGATGCTGCCTAATAACAATAAATACTATTTATGTACTTACTAGGTCAACCATGAGGCATTAACGTTATTAATATCAGTGAATATGGAGCAGCTACCCACAACTCAAAATAGACGTTGAATATCTACAAAACAGAGATTTATTGATCCTGTTAAGAAGCACAAGTTTAATATCAGCTAACTAATCAATATTTCTGTCTATTTTATACAGTGTTTTGTCATCTTTAATCTAGGATTAGAAAAGATTCTAGGGTTAGCTTATTCGCTTAGGTCTTTCGCTTATCTATATCCATTGTACTCAAAGCTTTATTCAAGGATTAATAATAATCAGAGTCCCATTTTCCCTATTCCTTCAATCCTTCAAATCCAAAGCAGCAGAAATGCGTCCAATTTAAATATAACCCTTTTAGATTGTGCTGAGAGTAGCAGCTGATTATTCCCATCTATAGGGATATTTTAAAAGACTACAAAATAGAAAAACATGACTAAATCTTTTTATTTCCTTACTTCTTTCTTTTTTTCTTTTTTTTCTTTTTGTTTTTTTTGGCCTAAGCCCACTTAGGAGGGTCCAATTAGTTAGGTTATTATTTAGTGCTTTATTAATTATTTTATGCATCATTTAAATTAGAATTAATTATATTAGATAGGATGCGTTTTTATCTCGATTTAAACTCGAATTTCAAGACATTAGGATTTAACTTTAGGTTTTATCTTGTACTTCTCTATATGTATTAAGCAAATACATCAAATAAAGCTTTGAAGCTGAGCATCAATTACTCAGCTAATTTCTCCTTTCCTCTTTTTTATTTTCTTCAGATTTCAAGTTTCCAATTATTTTCCTCAATCATTTCATGTTTTTTTTTTGGCCCGGGGGGGGAGGGAATCTGCAACATTCATGAAATAATTTGCGGTAACAGCTCTTGATAATTTCATTGATAGAAAAGTGTTACATATATAGGAAAAGGAGAGAATCAGATCTAATCTAATCCCTTAAACTCCTCCTATAATCTCAGTGAATATAATCAGAAATAAATTATAATAAAACTCAATAAAGCTTAGCATGATTCTAGGAGATAACAATCCTATCTATAAAGAGAAAACTAGGTCTACTACCCATACTTCCAACACTCCATTCAAGCTGGTGAATACATGTCAATCATTCCCAACTTGCCTATGAAAGCTTCAAATTTTTCCCAAGCGAGGGACTTAGTCATGACATTTGCTATCTGGTGCCTAGAAGGAATATAGGATAAATCTATCATCTTAGCCTCTATTTATCCTTAATAAAGTGACGGTCAATCTCTACATGCTTCATACAATCATGACGTACAGGATTGTTTGCTATGTTAATAGCTCAAACATCATCACACCAGACCTAATAGGATCATTAATTCCAATCTGCAGTTCCTTCAACAACCTAACCAGCCACATCCCTTCACAAATCCCTAAAACTAGTGCTCTATATTCAAATTCAGCAGAAATTCAAAATGCTACTAGTTGTTTCTTGCTTCTCCAAGTCACTAAGTTACCCAATATATGGGAGCAATACCCTATAATGGGTCTCCAGTTAGTTTTGAAGCCTCCCTAATCTGCATCGATAAACAACTCAATGCTTCTAATGTCCCTTTTTGCAAAGAATAATCCTTGCCCTGAGGTCTTTTTTTAGACATTTGAGAATCTTGTAGACAGCTGTCTTCTAAGAGCTACTTGACAATTGACTCGCTACACTGACTAGATAGCATATGTTAAGCCTTGTGTGAGACAAATAAATTAGTTTTCCTATTAGCTTCTGATATCTCTCCTCATTTATTGTTGTGCCATCAAGTCTAATGGTCCATTTTTGATTGAGTTCCATTGGGTAATTTGCAGGTTTGGCTCCCAACACCCTCGTCTCCTTTAGTAGGTCTAGGGTGTATTTGCGCTAAGACACACTAATTCCCCACTCCCATGCCCAAAAAATATCCTAGGGACCCAAGTTCTTTGATCTCAAATTCAATTGCCAAGTTTTTCTTCAGCCTTGCAATCTCTTCAGCATCATTCCCTGTTAGCATTATATCATCAACATAAACAAAGAGAGTAGTTATTCTATCTCCATAACACTTAATAAACAAAATGTGATCTGCTTGGCTTTGTTTGCATCCCCACAATTTAATAGCTCTGGTAAAATGTTAAAACCATGCCCTAGGTGATTGCTTTGATCTATACAAACACTTGTAAAGCCTACAAACCTTGGGGGAGTTGTTGAAAGTTCTCAACCCTAAAGGAGTCTCCATGTATACCTCCTCTTCAAGATCATCATTTAAGAAAGCGCTTTTAACATCTAGTTGATGAAGCGGCCAATCTAGGTTAGCTGTTGATAGGCCTGGCACTGAGATAAGGGCAGTATATGGTAGAAGGAGGCCCAAGCCCAAAGACTGAGGGACGGTTATCTAGGGTTGCGTGCGTAAGGGTGTGGACAGGGAGCATGTGGATGGTTTTGGAGAGCTGTTGACCTCTCGAATGTCAGGGAAGGTTTTATCCTTACTGTTCATCAATTTTCCTAGTCACCATTAGATATTTGCCGTTTTATTCTGTTTTCCCAGTATAGGTAGCTAGGATACTCAGTCTATTTTGCCATTTTTCCCCCTCCTTCCTCCATTGAGGGGGTCTTCTACTGTGAATCTTGGTTATTCAGAATAATACAGCGAGCTCCAACAATCTGGTATCAGAGCCGATCATCCAGGTATGGTGGGAACGAGAATGGAAAACAGACTAGAGAATGTGGAGAGAGTCATTGGTGAGTTTCAGAGAGCTAATGTGGAAGCACGGGAGGAACGCGCCTCAATGTAGAAAATCTTGGCTCAGCTTCAAGAGTAAAACGCGACTATGCTGGCCCTACTTCAGGACCTTGCTCGCCCCACGGGGAGGGATACCAGACACCACCATGAAGAGGAAATTACTGAACCCGTCAACTTAGAGGCCAAGGAGGTGAGTGAAAGGGAGAAGAAGGGTACTGAGAAGGATGTCCAAAAGTACCAGAAGCTCGAGATGCCTCTGTCTGATGGGGAGGACGCGATGGGCTGGATTTGTAGGATGGAACGCTACTTTATCATCAACGGAGTACCCGAGTCTGAGAAGCTTGATGCCGCTGTGGTTAGGTTGGAAGGAAAAGCGGTCAACTGGTTCCAATGGACCGAAGTTAAGGCATCCATTGGCAATTGGAAAGCATTCAAGAAAGCTGTGGTCGAGCAATTCCATTGCAGCCAAGATGGGGATAACTATAAGCGCATTGCGGGGTTGAGACAGACCAAGGGTGTGTTGGAGTTCAAGGAAAACTTTGAGTTACTAGTAGCGACCCTGCTGGATATATCGGAGGAATCATTGATGGGAATGTTTTTGAATGGGCTGAAGGACGAAGTCAAAGCAGACGCCCGCCTAATGAAACCCAGGAACCTTAAGGAGCTCATGGACAATGAGTACTAGGTTGAAGGGCGAAATGTCAGCTTGCAGAAGGTAGAGGAGAAGCGGGCTCAACATCTAAAAGGTGGGTCTCCATTGAAGTGGCCCAACTCCAAGCCCACTTACCAAAAATTTTCAAGCCCGCTGGAGATACCAAAACTAGAAGCCCCGAAGGTCACTCTTCCATCCCCTACCGCCCGTACTTTTGATGTTGTTGGGAATTTGAGGGAAGCAGTAACACGCAGAGGTCGCGGCGACTCTCAGAGGCAGAGATTAATCGAAGAAGAGAGCTGGGAATGTGCTTTAAATGTGACGAGAAATACAGTCTGAGCCACCGATATAAGGGCAAGCAATTCCGACTATTGGTTATTAACGAAGAGGATGAAGGGAAAATTGGGGAGGATGATTTTGAAGAATTAGTATAGGAGGCAGAGGGGAAGGCGATGGCTCCAATAGAGTTATCCCAAGCCATGGTGGTCAGTTTCTCCAGCCATCGTACCATGAAGGTCCGGGGGTTGTTGGGAGCAAAACCTGTGGTGATTCTCATAGATAGCGGGGCGACCCATAATTTATATCCGACAAGCTGATCAAGGAGGTGAACATGAGTGTCACTCCTACTCGACCTTACTCAGTAACAATAGGGGATGGCCGAAAAACCATTACCAAGGGAGAATGCAGGGACGTGGAGTTAGACTTGCAAGGAATTCAGGTCAAGCAAACCTTCTACCCTTTTGCTCTTTCCAACATCGACATGGTACTGGGAATTGCATGGCTAGAAACGTTAGGAGAGACTCGTATTAACTGGAGACAACTATCCATAAAGGTGAGTTTTGATAAGAAGTAGGTGTGTCTGCGAGGAGATCCTTCCTTGACTCGTTCGCAGACCGCTGGGTATTTAGTGGAAATCTGAACGATGAACCTACCAGGTAGTGACAGTCAGGAGTCAGCAGAAGAGATCAAACCGGCTATTCCGAAATTATTACAGGGTTACCCAAAGGTGTGTGAGTCATGGAAGGGGTTACCGCCATACCGTACCAAAGACCACTCCATTACTATAAAAGAGGGCGTCTCCCCCCTAATATTCGTCCTTATCGATATGCTTACAGCCACAAAACAGAGATTGAAAAATTGGTAAAAGAAATAATAGAAGCTGGCCTTGTCCGACCCAGTAGTAGCCCATATTCAAGTCCAGTTCTCCTAGTCAAGAAAAAAGATGGTAGCTAGCAGTTCTGTGTCGATTCCCGGGCCCTCAACAAAATTACCATACCAGATAAGTATCCAATCCCTGCCATAGATGAGTTGTTAGATGAACTGGGAGATGTGACTGTTTTTTCTAAATTGGATTTAAAATCTGCTTATCATCAGATCCGCATCAAACCAGGGGATGAGTACAAGACTGCATTTAGGACTCATGACGGCCACTATGAGTTCCTGGTTATGCCCTTTGGGCTCACTAACGCCCCGTCAACTTTCCAATAACTGCTGAATGACATATTCAAAGAGCATTTGAGGAAATTCGTTCTAGTCTTTTTCTATGATATATTAGTGTACAGCAAGGACGAGCAATCGCATCTGGAACACTTGAAGACGGTTCTGTCACTCTTGCAGCAACATGAGCTCGTCATAAATCTCAAGAAGTGCAGCTGACCCCTCTAAAATTGAGGCCATGGTCATTTGGCCCGTTCCAAAAGACATCAAAAGTTTGAGAGGC